AAACTTTGGTTGCTCGCCCTTCTCGTTCATGATGCCCTCGCGGCGCCTCGGTTGCATGCCAGGTTGCGCAGGATGCCCCATGCCACGGGAGCTGTTGGGAATTGGGCATGTCGGGACCTTTGTGTAAGGCGCAAGGATTCTGCATGGCAGCAGACGGAGTCTGTAGCTTCGTTTGTTTCTGGCAGGTTCGCCCGGGGATGAGAGTGAACGGCACACTCGATGGGCCAATTCTTCGAGATGCAGAGAAGTATCGACCAGACCATGGGGATGACAATTCGAAGTGCCCAGGTGCCACCGCTTGGTACGAAAGATGGTTTGGGTCGGGGCCAGAGCCTTATTGACCATTGTCTGAGTTTTGTTTCCCGAACTCGGCACTGCTGCGGTGGAGCCCAGCACGGCAGACAATGGCTCCCGAGGTACTGGCTCTGGAGAACCTGTTCAAAGTGCATGAAGCTGCTTGGACTAGTTTTTTTTACACCGTTTTTGAGAGCAGTAAATACCGCCTCCATCACAGATACAGGCATTCAGGTATCAGGTTGCAAGTGGCTCAGCCGGTACCAGTGGTACCGGGTAGCTGCAGCATCAGTAGTGAGTAGTGCAGAGCTGAGGCCAATAACGGGCATCCAAAAATGCTACTTGGCTGTTTCCGTTCAGCACACACAGAGTCGGAAAGCACGAGTCTCGTTGAGTCCTAGGAGGCAAATGCCCGATGATGCCCGTCTTACTCTGAATGGTTCTTGAGAACAGCGCAGGTGAAAGCGCTGCTGTTAAAGTGGGAGAAGCTTGCTTCGAGGATAAGCACCATTGCATCTGCAAGAAGAAAGAAGAATATCCCTATGGGACATCTTGCGACAAAGCCACGACGAGCTTCACGGCCTGGAAGCACCTCGGAAGCCTCTGTAAAGCGCATGCAAAAGGGATAGCAGCGGCTAGCAGCAACCTCGGCCAACTCAAGGAAGTGCTGCGGGAAAGGGTACGAAGACTGCCGGCCTTGCCTGGACGAGAACAGAAACTGCAAGAAACACGACCCATGCCTCCTCAACAAGGCTCGCTCTGTGGTGATCGGCACTTCCCCGATACAGCCGTTGGCTCTTCACGCCTCAGACCTTGTTTCGCAGGTGCAACAATACAGCGACTGACGGCTGCGGCGATCCTTGTGACAGCTCTGTGATTTCAGCCTTGTAGAAGGATGTGAAGTCCCTGAAGAAGTTTACAGTTTCTGGCCTCATGTTACCGTCGATGTGCCGCTATGCATGGCCGCGAGTCAGGGTACCTTACTGCGCAAGAGCGGAAAATGTAGCAGCTTGCCTATGGCAGGTCCGCCTATAGACCCCCTGTCACGACTGTTCAGTGTCCGATTTCCTGCTCCTCGCCTCGCCCTGCGCCACAAGCGAGCCTTCCTGCACCTCGTCAGGCGCAGAGTCGGAGCAAATAGCTGCGGTGGAGGAAAGGCTGGGAGAAGCAAAGTACTGATTGGTTTTGCTGCTCTTGCCGCTGCAAGTTGCTGCTTGTGGCCTTCGGCCTTCGTTTGGCAGGCTGAAGTTGGCTTTTCCTGCGCCGTTGCGGGAGCTCTTTGCACTGGCAGACGGACAGCAGGAAGAGACACCAGGCAGCTGCACCTCCTAGGACGTGCACGGAAACCTCCCTCCACCGTGAAGTCGCGGGCTTGCAGGTCTGCTTATGGTGCCAAAGAACAAAGCACTGCGATTCCGACATGTTTCGGTGTGAATGGGGATGGCTGGGTAGAAAAAGGCATGTCAGGCCCTTCCGGGAGGCGGCAAGCATGCTGTTGCCTGTGTTACGATAATGTACTTACTACTACACTGCTATGCCGACAACCCGCTGTAGTATTCTCTTAGTATGATAATCCTCCATGCGGGTATTTACTGGCAAGCCTCAGCTTCCTGTTCGGAGTACCTTGCCATTGCCTGCTTGATTCTCCTCGTCGTTCTGAGTCTTGCTGAAAGCTTTCTCTTGCTCTTGACTTCTCTCACTTTTCTCCGTGAGAATGTATTGCTTGGTTTGTGACCTTGCAGGCATGGGTTGCCGCACTCTCAACTTAAGTTTGCAGTTGTAGACTCAGAGCCATCGAGCCAGGAAGTTTCTCTCCTTGAAGGAATGCCGCGACCTCTCGCTTTACTGGAGTCTGGCACTGAGACACCAGGGTTGGGCAGAGTGTTTGGGATTTAGCTTGGAGATGTAGGATGTGGTTGTGGCGACTGGAGCTTGGCGTTAAAGAGAACTCTGGGGTTTTGGCGTTTCGGGTGCAGGGTTTCCGGGTTTCGTAAATGGACCCTCCGCCCCAGGTGCAGACGGAAATGAGCTCAAACACAGAACCTACACTGTAGACCCTAATACCTGCGCTCACTTCACTTAGGAGAGTCTGCCAGCCACGAAACTCAGCAGCGTTGGTGGAAGAGCTCGGGGCATCTGCCTGAGCTTCTTTGTTTCAGACCAATCTTCTTTTGTGTTCGGCAGGATGCCAATGCGGAGCTTTGCCCCTGAGGTATGATCCAACCTGGATCCCAATCGGTTATGCTAAGAAGCTGCATGTGTCGTCCGAGGCTCAGTCCACGTAGATCTGGACCATGGGTTCAGTAGATGCCAAAGCACGAAACTAAATGCAAGACACGCAACTTGGTGTAACGCCCTCTCGAGCTGCAGTGTGCAAAGAGTTCCGACATCACTTCTGGGGATGTCTTGCACCATGGATCCCCCAGCCTCCAGGTGCCTCATTCCCAGGCAAATTGGCTGTGATCCTCTTATGGGAGACCCTTGTTCTTGTCGTGACGATTCTGATTATCACAATTTTTGTTTTCTGGCTATTACTACTGCTACTACTACTACTACTACTACTACTACTACTGCTACTACTACTACTACTACTACTACTATTACTACTACTACTGCTAATGCTACTACTATTACTACTACTACTACTACTAC